GTGCCTGAGACTATTGATGAAGAAGATGATGAAGCCCAAGTGCTGAGGAATCTCAAGCCCAAGATCCCTGACTATAATGATGCACATCCTGTTGCAAAAAATATGAACATCAGGAAATATTCAGGACTACGATTGTGGAGACAGTCTGATCCATATGCTGTTAGAAGGAGAACTGTTGTGGACTACAGGTTCCACACAAAGGAACAACAAGACTTTTATGAGACTATTTTGCTTGACAAGAAGCCCATAGTGTGTGACATGAGATGGGTTGACTGGGAGTACATCAAGGAAAATGAAGATCACTATCCAGGAGTCTATGATTGCTTCAAGGCTTGTGGAGTAGATACATTTGTTGCCCAGAAGCTCACCAAGTGGAATGATGAGCTCATCATGCAGTTTTACTCCACATCCCACTTCTATCCAGATGAAAGGATAGTTTGGATGTCTGAAGGTACTAGGTACCAATCCACTATTGAAGAATGGGCTCAGTTGATCAATGCCCCTGAGGAACATGAAGATGACTTGGATGTTTATGCCGAGAAGAAGAAAGACCACAACACTATGGCACACATGTACAGAGAGATCCCAGATGATACTTTAGAGACTCATAAGTTTGGATCTGTCCACTTCTTGTTGTTTGGTCTGCCTACCATCAACTGGATCCTAAGGCACACATTGCTACCCAAGTCAGGTGATCACAAGATGATCAGAGGACATGCTATCAATTTGCTACATTTGTTTGATGTGCCTCAAAAGTTCAAAGTCATGAGTCTGATTGTAGAGACAATCATAAGGACATCAGCTGATCAGAAGAGAAGTTGTGGGTATGCCCCACAAATTCAGGAGCTCATCAACTCCAAGATGGGCACATGAAAATATTTATTGGATAAGGAACACCTGGCCATATACCTTGAATTTGAAAACAACATTGTTGTGATGAATGAGGAAGACCCCACATCTGTGCAAGCACATAAGAAGAGAGAGAAGGCAAGGGCAGAGAAAGCTGCAAGAATGCCAACTGTTGAAGAGGCATCTCGAGTGTTCTTGAAATCCAAGCAAGATCAGCTTGGATATCTAATCCAATCCACCTTGAGGATTGAGAAGGGCTTGGCCACCCTGACTCAAAACCAGGAGAGCTTGGAGAGGATCGTTGAGCAAAAATTCTATGATCTTGATGTCAAAGTAACTGAGATTCAGTCAGCAGTTTGAGCAGCTTCAAGAGGAAGTGGAGGAGAAGAAGGGCAAGTCAACTACTGATACTTTTGCTAGAGTGCTCCGAAGCCAGAGGTCTGCTGCAGTACCAGTCACAGATACTAGAGCTACAGCGTCAGCTCCACCAACTACAGCTCCAGTGCCACCTCCAGCAGCCACTCCACCAGCTCCAGCTACATCAACATAAGCTTTCGTCCTTGGAGTCATCTCTACACCACCTCCCGAAGATCAAGCCTGAGAGACGTTTAGCACTATGCATTTTTGAATTTTTTGGTAACTTGTTGCCAAAGGGGGAGAAAAATGTATAGATCATAGGCTTCAAGAGAGAGTGTTGCTTTTTATCTCTCTTATTTTGGTTTGGTTGAACTTCTTTATTGTGTGCTTGTGTGAGATATTTTATGTCCTTGTGAGATACTTGTTTGATCATATGCTACCCTTAATGCTTGCTGGATGGTATTATCTCTTATATCCTTATATGATCATTCACTTGCTTGTGATGAGTGCATGCTTTTAATTTCTATTATTTTGAGCGCTCCATCAAGATGTATGTGACATGGAAGAGTAACCCATGATAGTAATCGATTGTGCATCTGCACTCAAAAGCAAATTTTAAATAATGCACAAATTTAAGGGGAGCTCTTGCTTATCACATACTTCTCAAAGCGACGATGTTTTTCAATCTTATTATCATTTGTCGAAGCTTTGATCTATATGTTGCCATCAATTACCAAAAAGGGGAAGATTGAAAGTACAACTATCCTTGGGTGGTTTTGGTAATTCCTAACAACATATAGCTCATTGAGCTAATACTATTTCAAGATAAATATTTCAGGAAAGCTCAATGATTGGCATGGCATGGATTAGAAAGTGGACCAGGAAAAAAGGATTGGCTCAAGCTCAAAGCACAATACTCTACATTTCTCATTTTAGTGATCCAAGATCACATTGAGTCCATAGGAAAAGCCAATACTATCAAGAGGGGGTGAGGTGTTGCTTAATGACTTTCTTGCTCAAAATGCTTAGTGATATGCTCCAAAGCCTTCAACTACTTTCTCATATCCACATATGTCCCAAACCAAAAGTTAAACTCGGCCCCACCGAAATTCTCTACCCGGCACCACCGAGTTCTCTTGACATAGCCACCGCCAGAAACTCTAGTCTTTTCGGTCTCACCGATAGGGACCTCGGTCTCACCGAGATGGGATTGTAATCTCTCTGTTTCCCTTCATAACGTTTCGTCGAACCAAGATGAGCGATCGGTCCCACCGAGATTGCAATGCAAACTGTCTATTTCTTTTTCGTAACGTTTCGGTCCTACCGAAAGAGCGAATCGGTCCCACCGAGATTGCCTGACCAACTCTCCGTTTGTCTATTACCAAAATCGGTCCCACCGAGTTGACGTGTCGGTCCCACCGAAAATCCTAACGTTCATATTTTGAACTAAATCGGTCCGACCGAGTTTCATGATTCGGTCCCACCGAGTTTGGTAAATTGTGTGTAATGGTTAGATTTTGTGTGGAGGCTATATATACCCCTCCACCCACTCTTCATTCATGGAGAGAGCCATCAGAACATGCCTCCACTTCCAACATACATTTTCTGAGAGAGAACCACCTACACTTGTGTTGAGGTCAAGATATTCCATTCCTACTACATAAATCTTGATCTCTAGCCTTCCCCAAGTTCCTTTCCACTCAAATATTCTTTCCACCAAATTCAATCCTATGAGAGAGAGTTGAGTGTTGGGGAGACTATCATTTGAAGCACAAGAGCAAGGAGTTCATCATCAACACACCATTTGTTACCTCTTGGAGAGTGGTGTCTCTTAGATTGGCTAGGTGTCACTTGGGAGCCTCCGTCAAGATTGTGGAGTTGAACCAAGGAGTTTGTAAAGGCAAGGAGATCGCCTACTTCATGAAGATCTACCCGAGTGAGACAAGTCCTTCGTGGGCGATGGCCATGGTGGGATAGACAAGGTTGCTTCTTCGTGGACCCTTCCTGGGTGGAGCCCTCCGTGGACTCGCGCAACCGTTACCCTTCGTGGGTTGAAGTCTCCATCAACGTGGATGTACGATAGCACCACCTATCGGAACCACGCCAAAAATCTCCGTGCCTACATTGCGTTTGCTCCCTCCAAACTTCTCCCTTTACCTTCATATGCAATTGTTTTACTTTCCGCTGCTATACTCTTAGAATTGCATGTGTAGGTTGATTGCTTGACTTTGTGCAAAGTTGCTAAAAATCTGCCAAGAACTAAAATTGGGAAAAGGCTAGATTTTTATTTAGTCAAGTAGTCTAATCACCCCCCCCTCTAGACATACTTTCGATCCTATAGGCGGCGTGAAGAACAGCGACAGGCGCCGCGTATGGTGGGGCGCCCCCGGCCGCACGCTC